AAACCGTGGGAAATAGCCTGGGCTATTATGATGGGATTGTGGGAGCTTGACATTGGAGAGGTATTTGGGGGGGTTATCAAGCACCCCCCCACCCCCCAAAAATTAACTTGGAAAGGCTCACTTCTGTGGCACGTTGCCTCCACGACCTGAGAATTTGGGCTTAAATTCCAGATTAGACTCTGACCAGCCACTAGTCAGGATGACCACAAATATAAGTTTAAATTTCAAGAAGAGACTGGACTGCCATCTGTCAGAAATGGTGTTAAGGTCTCCTGCTTGGATGGGTCTGTGGGTGGGTTGGGCTAGATGACCTACCAGGTCCCTTCCAACTCTGTTAATCTGTAAATAAGTGTATTTGGCTGTACCCTATTTTTTGTTGGCATGAGAAGAAAGGGTTTAAGTTTACATTTCAAGAAGAGACTGGACTGCCATCTGTCAGAAATGCTTTTAATGCCCACTGCTTGGGCAGGGGGTGGGGTGGAGGGTTGGACTAGATGATCTACTAGGTCCCTTCCAACTCTGTTAACCTTCTGTAAATAAATGACCTTCCCTTTTTCCTTTTTTTAAATAAGAAAACGTGAGTTTTGCAAGGGGAGAAATGTCTATGTGGGGAAAATATTGGCTGTCAAAACCTGCAAATCGGAAAGAGGGTGGCGAATTTGGCCAAAAGCAATTCTGAAGGAGGAAATATTTCAATTTTTATTCTCCCCCCCCCCCCCCCCCGGGGCGGTCTGTGCGGGCTGGTAATCCCCGGCTAACACCCGGCCATCAAGCCCCCCCCCCCCAACAGTTCTGCTGCTAAGTGAGACATCACTTAAGTGAGCTTTGCCTCGGCCACAGCAGTGAAGTAAATCCTGACAGCCGATCAATTTCATCCCCAGCCCCTGGCCATGGAGTGAATCTGGCTTTCTCCATCGTCGTAAGGGGATCCCGCCACTGTCATAAATACGAGTCAGACTGAGTTTTGATCGTGCGGCCGCAGGGAGGCTGCGACGATCACAATAATATATCCCTGCTTCAAAGAACGGCGGGTTCCGCCACCAAGCATCCTGTGTGGCTCAAAAGCTTGCCAGCAAAGTACATACATCTCTATATCTCCCCCCGCCCTTCTCCCCTCCCAAATCGGATCCCTGCAGGCCAGATGCTCCCAGCTCATGTCCTTTGTTGGGCCTTTTAATCCCATGAATGAGCCGCGGTGTGGGAAAAAGAACTTCTATCGGGTCACACCACCAGCCAAGCATCAGGTCCTGGCCCCCTTGGAGTCGCCCCTTGGAGATGGAGGCACTGGCCATGGGCACCACACTTCTCTGACCCAGCCTGGGGAGGGGGCGGGGGTGGGGAAATCCCCCTTTAATTTTAATATATATATATATATATATTTAATCTGTAGGTTAAGGAGAGGCCAGAAAGGAGGAGAGAGAGGGAGGGAAGAGGAAGGAGGGATCGTAGAAATAAATATAGGGAGTGTTTGGGATCAATACGTTGTGCCAAAAAATGATAATAAGGATAAAAGAGTTTTAAGTTTCCAAAAGACATCGATCTGGGATGCTTTTCTATGAATAGATAGATAGATAGATAGATAGATAGATAGATAGATAGTAGATAGATAGTAGATAGATAGATAGATGATAGTTAAAGATAGAGATAGAAAAATAGATGATAGATGGATGAGAGATAGATAGATACATATATAGATATATAGATACAGATAGATAGATAGATAGATAGATAGATAGATAGATAGATAGATAGATAGATAGATGATAGATAGATAGATAAGATATATACTGTAGATATAGATGAGAGATTGATAGATTAAAGATATAAAGAGATAGATGATAGATTTAGATGAGAGATAGATAGATATAGATATATAGAGGTAGATGAGAGATAGATAGATTATATATATAAAGAGAGAGAGATGATAGCTAGATAGATAGAGATAGATAGATGATAGATAGAAATATAAGTATAGATAGATAGATAGATAGATAGATAGATAGATAGATAGATAGATGTAGATAAATAGATGATAGATAGATGAAAGATAGATATAGATACAGAGAGATAGATATATGATAGATTAGATAGATAGATATATGATAGATATAGGTAGGTAGGTAGGTAGGTAGGTAGATAGATAGATAGATAGATAGATAGATAGATAGATAGATAGATAGATAAGATGAGACATGATATAGATATAGATAGATAAATGATAGATAGATGATTGATAGATAGATATAGATGAGAGAGAGAGAGAGAGATTTAGGGGAGGGGGGGGGCTGTTCCCAGATTTTTCCAAAGGGACTTCAGAGAAAACAGCTTGATCCGCCCAGACCTGCTTTCGCCTGGGCTGAATGGCAACCCTTGGCACGTTTCTTTGGTTCCCTTTTGAACATTTTCAAGGCTTTGCCCAAAGGGTGGGAAATGCCCCGGTAGACAATGGGGTGAGTGGGCCAGGCTGGGGGTTAATAGGGGCTATTGTCCAGAAGGGCCTCCAAGGGCGGAAGGGGTCAACGTCATAAAGATCCTATTCTCCCCGCCCCCGCGGGAACCCCAGGAAAAAGGAGCATTCTTAAGCAGATCAGCAACAATTTAATGCCTTCACTTAATCGTATTTCCTTAACCTCTTTAAAGATGTGTGGACTTCAGCTCCCAGAATTCCCCATGCTGGCTGGGGAATTCTGGGAGTTGAAGTCCACACCTCTTAAAATGGATGCGATTTAATATGCCTCAGCATATTAAATTTGGCAAGGATCCATGTTGGTTATTTTTGATAACTTCACATGTTATAATTCAGCGATTCTACAATTTCACTCAGGAATTTATGACCTCAAGATGTGATTGGTGAAATTAGCTCATGATGTTTGATTGGATCAATGATTCTTCATTCCTCTGTTTAACTGGACCCCTAGTTTTCCTTAGCTGCCCCATAACACAATTTTTTTTGGGGGGGGGTGTGTTTGGCACCTCCCAAGAATGGATAAGAAATAATTGCAATAGTTTAAAGTCAACCCAGCCTTAAACAGAGATCCCAAGCTAAGAAACGCACGGCATAGCGCTCCATACATTATTGCCATCAACAAATTAAAGGTTTTTTTTTTTGGTAACCTTACATCCAACTTGGCAGCTAGAATTGATTTTTTTTTTTAAAAAAAAGGATTTTCAAGGTTAGGGATCTGGGAAAAAGGAGGTGTGAACTGATTTCATTGGAAGTCGACATCTTGGGCTTTTGCAAGAAACAAAACTGAATGGAAAAGCAGTGGCTTTGCTCTAGCAATGGAGCTGCCGTGTACAGGAGCAGTTTACCCAGAAAACCACAACCCCCTCTTATAATTGCATCCCAAGGACAGCTCCCTTTTGTGTTTTGTATTTGTGTGATGAACTATTCTGCAATCTGAAAGGAAGAATTCACCCACAGAGATGTAAAAACACGCATGTGTGTATGTCTTTACATACACACATACACACACACACACACACATCTATTTAACTGGCATATATTTAATTGGCATCAGAGGAATTTAAATGACAGCAATAATCTGAAAGCATCATCCATTGATACAAAGTTCTCTGGCCGGTCACTTCCATGAAATCTTTCTCTTTATTAAAGGTACATAAGTCACCAGAGCCTTCACAAAAGGCGAGCAGATTTCTGACAAAAATGAAAGAAATATTATAAAGTCCATCTCCCGAGGGAGTACTGGATTTGCAGGGCGAGGGTCCCTTAAAAATGGGAAGGGGGGAGGGTTAGGGGGAGGGAGGGAAGGAGGGAAGGAGGAAGGGAGGGAGGAGGGAAGGAAATAAAGAGAGAGTGGGGGAGAGGAAGGACAGAAAGAAGGAAAACAGCAAGGAATAAAAAGCAAGAGAAGCGAGGGAGGGAGGAAAGAAAAAGGAAGGAAGGAAGGTAAAGAAAGAGGAGGTCAGCTTTTTTGATACAAACTACTCCTTTAAAC